AAGGAAAGAGAAAACCAGAAGGAAAATCAGAGGAGCTGAAAAAAAAGCCTAAGGTACGGAGACATGCTGTGCGCCCGCCCGCACGCACGCACGAAGAGGTCGCAGCCGGAGAGGAGGAGAGGGCGGAGAGCTGCCGTTCCTTCCCTAGCAGGAAGGAAATAAAACCCCAGCCTGGGCTGAACCCCCGAACCGGCAGCGCTGAGCCCCCCGAACCGGCAGCGCTGAGCCCCAGTTATGGGTCAGACCCTGGGGACCCAGGCTCCGGCAGGAGGAGACGGGGCTGTGAGGCGGAATCCCAGAAGAGCGGCGAAAAGCAGGGCCCCCGGAGTCACGCGCAATGTGCGCGCAGAGGACCGAATGTTGACTCTGATGCTGGGTTACCCTAGCCGGAAGAAACAAGGCCTCCGGCAGCACTGAGCCTCAGTCCGGACTGCTCCGAACCCCAGTTCTGGGCTAATCCCTGGGGACCCAGGCTCAGGCAGAGGGAGACGGGGCTGTGAGGTGGAGTCCGGGGAGAGCGGCGAAAGGCCGGGCCCCCGGACTTGCGCACACTGCGCGCAGAGGACAGTCTGTTGACTCTGATGCTGGACTCCCCTAGCGGGAAGGAGAAAAAAAGCGCCAGGCTGGGGGAACCCGGCGGGGAGCAGGAGCCCCTGCCGGACGCCGGCCAATCGGGCACCAGCAAGGAGCCGGGCGACGGGGCCCCTGGGGGTTGGGGGTGCCCCTGAGCCTTCCACTGCTGAGCACGGGCAATGGAGCCAAGGCCGGGGGCTGCTTCCTGGGTGGCGCCGTCCCCAGCAACAGGCTGAAGCAGCGCAGGAGCCCGCGGAGAACAAAGGGGTGCCACAGGCCAACCTGCTGAGCTCCCAGGACAAGGAGGAAGAAACCAAAGAAGTTCTCAATGTGAAGAAATCAAGTGAGAGCAAAAAAATAGTAAAATTACTTAAGAAAGAATACAAAGAAGTTCTTGAAAAATCAAAGACTAAGTCAGAACTCAACTCACCAGCCAACATTGCAACATAAATGTGTTTAAAAAAAAAAAAAAAGGAAAAAAAAGGACAGAATGTTGGAACAGCGGAGGCCAGGCCTAGAGTGGCCAGGCACAAGGCAGTGGCAGCCAGACCCAGAGCAGCAACGGCCAGGCCCCAGAACAACAGCAACCAGAACCAGAGCATCAACAGCCAGCACTGGAGCAGCCAGACCTGGGGCAGTGGCAGCCAGGCCTGAGGCGGAGGCGGCCAAGCCCAGGGTGACCAGTCCAGGAACAACCAGACCCGGAGAAGCCAGGCCCAGAGCAGTTGGGGTGGGAGCAGCCAGACCCAGAACAGCAGTAGCCAAGCCCAGAGCATCCAGGCTGGGAGTGCCCAGGCTCGGAGCGGCCGGGTCGGGTGCGGCCAGGCCCAGGGGAGCAGCCAGGCTGGGAGCGGCCAGGCCCGGGGGAGCAGCCAGGTTGGGTGTGGCCATGCCCGGAGCAGCAGCTGCCAGGCTGGGAGCGGCCAGGCCCGGAGCAGCAGCAGCCAAGTCCAGAGCAACTAGGTCGGGAGCGGCAGTGACCAGACCTGGAGCAGCTGGTTGTGGAAAGAACCAGAGCAACAGAGGCCAGGCCCTGAGCAGCCAGGCCCGGAACAGCTCGCTCCTCGCCTGCCCCTGCCCCACGGCTGCCTCTCAGACATGGCTGGAAACTTTCGCGGGAACTTGAGGGTCTGCTGAATCAAGTGATGAAGGCTTAGATCTGGATGTGTTGAGTTAGTATAGGGCTGGGGTGTTGATCTGTGAGTGCCTCGGGTGGGGCCTGGATGAGGCTGGTGGACCTATTGGGAAATGTCTTTTGTGTGAAGTGTATCATTGGGCATGTGGAGGTATTATTGATATGAGAAAATGCTAAGTAACTGAATTACTATCTGAAAAGGGATTTACTATTGGGGAAAGGGAGGGAGGAAGAGACTGAACATAAACTGCACCTATGGATGAGGACAATGGGGGATGGGGAGGGGGCGGAGGGTGGGGTGGGAACTGGTGGAGGGGGGAAGAAATGAGGAACCTTTGTAATAATATGAACAATAAAGATTGATTTTTTTTAAAAAATAATTTTAAAAAAGATTAAAAATAATAATAATAAATAAATAAATAAAAGTGGGGGGGGGGGAGATATATAGAATGAGCCCAGCTGGTGTGACTCAGTGGTTGAGCGTCAACCTATGAACCAGGAAGTCACAGTTCCATTCCTGGTCAGGGCACACGGAGGGGTTGTGGGTTCGATCCCCAGTGTGGGGTGCACAGAAGGCAGCTGGTCAATGATTCTCTCTCATCATTTTGTTTCTCTCTCCCTTCCTCTCTGAAATATATATATATATGTATAAAGTTTTCAGGCTCAACTTAAGAAACTAAGAAAGGGCTAGGTTGTGGATGTGTCGCTTTAACGCATGTAATAATCAAAATAAACCTCAGCGTTTTATTTTTTTTATATATATTTTATTTTTACTTGTTTTACAGAAAGGGGGAGAGAGAGAGCCAGAAACATCGATGAGAGAGAAACATGGGTCAGCTACCTCCTGCACCACCGCCACCACCACCACCACCACCCCCCTCCACTGGGGATGTGCCCACAACCAAGGTACATGCCCTTGACCAGAATCGAACCTGGGGCCCCTCAGTCCGCAGGCCGACGCTCTATCCACTGAGCCACACTGGCCAAGGCAGAATTTTATTTTTCCTATGTCACCCCCTGGGTACTAAGCCAGACTCAGAGCTCTCACGCCCGCCTTGAGACAGAGGGAGGGAGATAGCTACGGTCTCCCTTCAAGGCACGTGACCTTCGCCAGGCCAGCATCTGTGCCCATCAGTTCTCGGACGGATGGGTGTGACGCACAGTAGGTGCTCAGCACGTACGCACTGAATGAGTGAGCGCGTAGCTCTTCCTTCCTCGTGGCGACAGAGCCTCCCTGTCACCCTGAGAGATGCTTGCACACAGTCACCCTGAGAGATGCTTGCACACAGTCGGGGGGGCACCCAGAAAGACCGGATGGAGGGAGAGGTCAGCAGAGGCGGCCCCAGATGGCCCGGGACCAGGGACCAGGGAGGGAGAGGGCACCTTTTGGGCTCCCCACCCAGTGTGCCCCATTTCCCAACGGGCCAGGAGCCACCCGCCCCCTCAGCCTCAGGTGACCCAGCCCAACTTTCTCACCCACGCCTGGCTGAGCAGCTGGGCCGTCTCACCTGCTGGGGAGGGGCCGGGGGAGGGGTGGCCTGGATCCTGGCCCGTAGCCCCCGCACCAGGGTGAAGGGCAGGAGTCGGGGTTGTGGGGTGTCTTGGCAAAGTGGCCTGAGTCTGCTGGACCCAAAATGCAGGGTTGGGGAGACCGAGGGACAGAAAGACAGAGAGAGAGAGAGGGAGAGAGGGAGAGAGGGAGAGAGGGAGAGAGGGACAGAGAGAGAGAGAGAAGAGAGAGAGAGAGAGAGAGAGAGAGAGAGAGAGAGAGAGAGAGAGAGAGAGAGAGAGAGAGAGATTGAGTCACAGAGGGGAGGAACAGGGGAGGAAAGGTACAGAGACCCAGCGGTGGAGAGAGGCAGACCGGAATCACAGACAGACACGTGAGAGGGCCGTGAACAGGATAGCGTTGGCGATGATAGGGCTTGTGTGTGTCCAGCAGTCAGGACAGTGTCCGTGGACGTGCATATGGCTTCTGGTGCCCCAGGTATGCCTCAAGGAAGCCGTTTTTAAAGGAAAATAAAAGCAGACTGGACAATTCCAAGGGGTGTTGACAAGCCAAGTACTCAAAAGCCAAGCATTCAAAAGAGAGAGGATCCACCCAGCCCGTTTGGCTCAGTGGATAGAGCGTCGGCCTGCAGACTGGAGGGTCCCAGGTTCGGTTCCGGTCAAGGGCTTGTACCTTGGTTGTGGACACATCCCTGGTGGGGAGTGTGCAGGAGGCAGCTGATTGGTGTGTTTCTCTCTATCCCTCTCTCTTCCTCTCTGTAAAAATCAATAAAATATATATATTCTTTAAAAACTGTTTAATATGTGACATTTCATTGAGAGAGAGAGAGAGAGAGAGAGAGAGAGAGAGAGAGAGAGAGAGAGAGAGAGAGAGAGAGAGAGAGAGAGAGAGAGAAAATATCACGGAGCCACAAAGAGCAAGATGCAGAGACCCAGAAAGGCAGGCAGAGGGGGAGGGACAGAGGAGCAGACACGTTGAGACACAGAGAGACCTGGATCCTTCCAGGGGGTGGGGGTGGAAGGAGGTGGAGGGGAAGCGGGGAGAGAGGCAAAGAGGGATACTCTGTGGACACCTTACACCGAAGGAGACTCGGGGAGCCTGGGAGGGGAGCAGAGAGGGGGAGACGGGCGGTAGGAAAGTTTGCAGCGCGGAGAGGAGGCTGGAAGGGTGCCGGGAGGTGAGAATCCTGGGCCCGGTGCGCAGACCCCTCCCCATCCCCGGGCCGGGAGGCAGGGAGCGGCTTGGGGACTGGGTGGGGTAGGGGGTGCTCGGGGGCGGAATGGGGGGGGAGGCAGGAGGAGTGATTGCTGAGACCCGCCAGGGCGCCTCACTGCCCGGGAATGCGCCCCGGGCGGCCGTGGGTGGTTATAACCAGACGGGGAGCCGGGAGCGGGGAGGCGGCGGCGGCGGCGGACGGTGCGGGGCCCCGAACTCTGCGCTGAGCCCCGAGCGGCTCCACACCTCCTCCGACCTGGGGGCGCGCAGGTGAGGCCGGGGAGGGGGACCCCGTGCAGGGGATGTCGGGGAGGAGGACCTGCAGGTGAGGCCGGGGAGGGGGACCTACCTGCAGGTAAGGCGGGGAGGGGGACCTGCAGGTGAGGCCGGGGAGAGGGACCTGCAGGTGAGGCGGGGAGGGGGACCTGCAGGTGAGGGGGACCTGCAGGTGAGGCGGGGAGGGGGCAGCGAGGGAGATTGCAGGGCGGATTCCCCCAGTTCCTGAGGAGAATGGGGTTCGGTCCTCACTGGGCCCCCGCTCCCCGCCCCCCGGCAGGCGCAGTGACCATGGCGAGGACAGGACCTCCCTGGACGTGGATGGTCGGCGCCCTGCTCACCGCCCTCCTCCTGCGGGTGACAGGTGAGCGGAGGGGTGCGGGGGGGGGGGGGGGGAGGCTCTGTGGCCCCGGGGCGCCTTGGGAGTGGGGGGGGGGGGGCCTGCAGGTACTGGCGCCAGGCCCGGCCCGTGTGAGTCCAGTGGCTGTGGCTGTGGCTGTGGCTGTGGCGGTGGCGGTGGCGGTGGCGGTGGCGGTGGCGGTGGCGGTGGCTGTGGCTGTGGCTGTGGCTGTGGCTGAGGCTGTGGCTGTGGCGGTGCATGGTTTTGTGTGGCTCCACTTAGGCCCGTTGGACAGCGTGAAGCCCTACGCGCTGATGAATGTATGTGACTGTGTGTCTGTGTGTGTGTGTGTGTGTGTTGTGATTGAAGATTACTGCGTGCTTGTGCGGGGGATTGTATGTGACTGCGTGTGTGGGGGGGGTTGTATGTGACTGTGTGTGCGTGCAGGTGATTGTGTGTGCAGGGGGGGGTTGTATGTGACTGCGTGTGTGCAGGTGATTGAATGTGACTGCGTGTGTGTGCGGGGGATTGTATGTGACTGCGTGTTTGTGCAGGTGACTGTGTGTGCAGGGGGTTGTATGTGACTGCGTGTGTATGCGGGGGGTTGTATATGCCTGTGTGTGTGTGCAAGTGATTGAATGTGACTGCATGTGTGTGCGGGTGATTGAATGTGACTGCGTGTGTGTGCGGGGAGTTGTATGTGACTGCGTGTGTGTGCAGGTGACTATGTGTGCAGGTGATTGAATGTGACTGCGTGTGTGTGCGGGCTGTATGTGCGCCAGTGCAGCTCTGTGTGGAGTTGCTCTCCCTCTGAGACAGTGGCTGTGTGAAGTCGGATGGTGCCCGGTGTGTCACGGCACATGTGCATACATGGTCTGCACTCGCGTGCACATGAGACATGCAGGCGTGTCACTGAGACACGTGAGTGTGAGAGCAGGTGAGGCCCCCCAGTGTGTGCGTCCGGGCTGTGTGCACCGCGAGGCAGCGGTGTGTGCAGCTGTCCTGGGAGGCGATGCGTGTGTGCTTGTCTGTGACAGCCGTTGTGTGCCTGTTTCGGGGGTATGTGTGTGTTTCCTGGGGTGGGGGGTTGTGCATGAAGCTTCTCTGCTCTGGGTCGTCAGCAAGAGCATGAATTGAACAAACTTGGGGGACTGGTGATGGAGTGGGCTGTCGTGTATGTGGGTTTGTGGGGGGCAGACCATTCAGGGGGTGCCTGTGTTGGCAGACCATTCAGGGGGTGCCTGTGTTGGAACCAGCTCTGCTCTCCCCTCCACGGGGCGCCCCAGGCCAAGCTCGCTCGGGGGTTCTGAGGGGCCCACCTGTGCGCCCTGACCCTGACCCTGACCCTGTCCTCAGCCACTCCTCCGTGCAGGCCACACCCACGGTCAGGGCCCTGGCCGGCGCCCACCCCTCAACCCCTAGCTCTCCCCGCTTCACCTCCGCCCTCAGTTCCTAGAGCCCGGCCCCACCTCTGACTGTCCAGGTGACCCTGGCCTTGGCCCCACCCAGGCGGGTGCCAAGCCCCTCCCACGCCCAGGCTCTGCCACCTCCAGCCCTGACCCCATTCCCTGAGGCCTGGCCACACTCCTCGAAACCAGGCCCCACCCTAAGCCCCAGCCACAGGCCCCACCCCCTGAGCACCCGGGCTCCACCTCCTGACCCTTGACCCCACCCTCGAGGTTGTCCAATATTACCCTCCCAGGCCCACCCACTAACCTCTGACCACTCCTAGGGATCCCGAGATCTCGCCTAAATCCACTCTCCCAACCTGAGCCTGGACCCTGCCCTTGAACTCTAAGCCTCACTCCCTCCCTGCGGCTCAGGGACCTCCAAGCTCCACCTCCCTCCCCCTGGCCCCGCCCCTAGACTCATGGACCCGCCCCCTCCACTAGCCCCGCCCCTGAACTCCTGGACCCCTTTCTTCCCCCACTGGCCCTGCCCCTAAACTCTTGGATCCCCTCTCTCCCTCTCCCCCCCCCACCCTGACCCTAAACTCCTGGACCCACTCCCTCCCCCCTGACCCTGACCCTAAACTTCTGGACCCTCTCCTCCCCCCCTGACCCTGACCCTAAATTCCTGGACCCACTCCCTCCCCCCTAACCCCACCCCTAAACTTCTGGACCCTCTCCTCCCCCCCTGACCCTGACACTAAACTCCTGGCCCCGCCCCTAAACCCGCCCCTGGCCCCGCCCCCGCCCCTGCCCCACCCCTAAACTCTTGGCCCCGCCTCCTCCCCTGGCCGCGCCCCTAAACTCCTGCCCCCCCCCCCCTGCCCTGCAATGTGAGCGCCCTTCAGAAATCTGACCTCCTGGGGCTGGTCCCAGCTCCACCTCCGAGCCCCTTCCCTCCTGTTTCCTGCGCCCAGAGCCTGTTCTTGCAAATGATGGTGCCTCCTGCAGCAACGCCCCTGCCTCCGGGGCATCTGGGGGCACCCGGGACCTGGCAGCTGGGACCAGGGAGGGCAGCCGGGACCTGGCAGCCGGGACCAGGGAGGGCAGCCGGGAAAACAGCGACCGCATCGTCAACGGGACGGACTGCGACGAGCACGCCCAGCCCTGGCAGGCCGCGCTGCTGCTGAGACCCAACCAGCTGTACTGCGGGGCGGTGCTGGTGGCCCCGCAGTGGCTGCTGACGGCCGCCCACTGCCACAAGAAGTGAGTGGGGCCTCCCCCCACAGGGCTGGGGGGCGGCCTGGAGGCCAAGGGCTGGGGAGACGGGTGGGGGCTGAGGGAGCAAGAGGAGGTAGAATTGGGGATGGGATTAAGGGTGGAGTTGGAGCCCTAGCTGGGTTTGCTCAGTGGGGAGAGCCTGGGCCTCAGGGCTGAAGGGTCCCAGGTTCAATTCCGGTCACGGGTACATGCCTGGGTTCCAGCTGGTGGCATGCAGGAGGCAGCTGATCAACGATTCTCTCTCATCGTTGGTGTTCCTAGCTCTGTCTCCCTCTCCCTTCCTCTCGGAAATCAATAAAAAGTAGTAATAATAATATTTTAAATATATATATTTTTTTATTGATTTTTATTGGCATGGCCCCTAGTGGGGACTGAGACCACAACCTGGTCATGCACCCTAACGGGGAATCCTAACAGTGACCTCCTGTTATAGGTGGACACTCAACCAATGATCCTCACCATCAGAGAGCATCAATAAATACATATAGATACACTGAGTGGCCAGATTATTATGATCTCCGAATGCATAATAATCTGGCCCCTCAGGATATATATATATATATATTAGAGGCCCGGTGCATGAATTCGTGCATGGGTGGGGTCCAGCCAGCCTGGCCAGGGGGAAGGTTCATGAGCTGTTGGCCGGCCTGCCAGTTGGTCAAGGGGACAATTTGCATATTAGCCTTTTATTATATAGGATATACACCGAGTGGCCAGATTATGAGGCATTCAGAGATCATAATAATCTGGCCACTCAGTGTGTGTGTGTGTGTATATATATATATATATATATATATATATATATATATATATGATGGAGTTGGGGGAAAGAGTGGGGTAGGGACAGGGTTAAGCTGGGGAGAAGGTTGTGGGTGGGGATGGAGTTAGGGATGGGTTGGATTTGGCAGTAGGAATGCACAGGTTGATGGTTTGGGGGTGGGTAAGGGATTAGGAATGGGGTGAGAGTTGGGCTCGAGGTTGGGAATGGGGAAGGGCACATATCTGCTGATGATTTGGGGTGGGCACGGCATGGTGGTTGGCTCTAGAGTCAGAACAGGTGGCTGTTGGGAGGGCGTTGAGTAAACTTGGCATTGGGGATAGATGCGGGATTGAGGATGGGGTAGGGATTAGAGTTATGTGTGAGGGTGGAGATGGTTGGCTTGGAGACTGGGGATGGTTAGGTTTGGGGTTTCTGTGTGGGGGAGGGATTTGGGTGGGAGTTGGGGATGGGGTGGGGATGAGCTGGCGATGTGGCTGGGGTGGGGACCGGCATGGGGTCGGAGGTAAAGATGGTGTCGGGCTGGTGGGTTGCAGTTGGGACCACGTCTGCAGCTGCGGTTGGCCTCGGCGAGGGGGTAGGGGTCGGGGCTGGTGGTGACCCGCACCGTCTTCCTCAGGATTTTCCGAATCCGCCTGGGCCACCGCTCCATGTCGCCGGTGTATGAGCAAGGGCAGCAGCTGTTCCGAGGGGTCAAGGCCATCCCCCACCCCGGCTTCTCCCGCCCCGGCCACACCAACGACCTGATGCTCATCAAGCTGAACCGGAAAATCATGGAGTCGCCCAACGTCAAGCCCATCAACATCTCCTCCCACTGCCCGGCCGTGGGCACCAGCTGCTTGGTGTCTGGCTGGGGGACAACCAGCAGCCCCCAAGGTGAGCGTCCAGGTCCTTGTGTGTGTGTGTGTGTGTGTGTGTGTGTGTGTGTGTGTGTGTATGTGTGTTACTCCTCATCTATTGTCCCAATCATTCCATAAGGGACTTATGCACAGGTGGCCTAGGGTGCCTCAGCCAGAAATCTGACACGTAAGACCCTAGGTACTTAATTAATAATTCCACCTAGCATAAATTCCACAGGAGACAAACAGGCAGTGCACGAATCACTCACGGTTTATTTGCCAGAATCCTGGTGGGTTCCAAAAGCCTAGGCAGGCCACCCGGGGATCCACACTGACAGACACACACACACACACACACACACACAAACACACACACACACGATTCATAGAGAACATTGCAGCTGCGGCTGGGCTTCAGTTGAGGCCTCTCGCGATGGCTCACGGTCTGTGGATCAGGGTTCGGGGTTCAGGGCTCGAGGCTCGGGCAGAGCTTTGACTGATGCAGGCAGGGGAAGTGGAGAGCGACCCTCTGTGGAGAAGCAGGAGGAACGTCTCTGATCTTCTGTGGAGCTGGCTCTTTTTTATGTGTCTTCAGAGCTCAGATGTGTTTTCCGTGTGTCTTATCGGCGGGTCCCAGGAGCCCTGCTATCCGGTCTTGCATACGGGGTACAGATCACGTTACCTATTTTCTACATTCAGGCCACTCAAGGGTGCTTATCAGTTTGGTTACATGACATGCCGTACTTCCAGATATCGCACTCCAACCCCACACGTTAATCCTTATTCTGTATTGTACTTTGTCCTTACTACTATTACTGTAACATCTGAGTATACGCTCTTCCACGTGTGGGAACCCCTTTTCACGTCCCACGCGGTTCAGGGTTCCGGTTCAGGGTTCGGGTTCTGGGGAAGGCCGCACACAAATGAAAAGAGACTAGAAAAGCTTCCATCTGGGAATATTGGGGTCCAGGCAGGAGCCCCCCCCCCCATTCTGGTAGGAAGACTACACCCCGCTCTGGCCTTGCTCTCCTTTTATTGAGGCAAACACCCACAGCCCTTAGGCAGGGAATAACAGAAACTTACATGGGACAAACAGAGGTGGAGGCTGGCTTCAGCTATCAATGTTTCCACTAAACGGTGAGTGGTTAGCGCAATTAAGGTTGTTGACCAGCCTTCCCCAGCTTCCTGACCACATCTTTCTATCAGTGAGACAGTGATTGGTTTCCAGCATTCATGGATGAGAGAGAGAGAGAGAGAGGAAGGGAGAGGGGGAGGGAGAGAGAGAGAGAGAGAGAGAAACATCAATTGGTTGCCTCAACCGGGGGTTGGGGAGCGAACCTGCAACCCAGGCACGTGCCCTTTGACCTGGAACCCAACCCACTGCTCTTCAGTGCACAGGTTGCCGCTCCAACCACTGGGCCACACCAGCCAGGGCTCCAGGTCCCTCCCGATGCTCAGGCATGCTTCTCCCTGCCTCTGTCTGAGCACTCTGCCCCCCCTCCCTCCCCGCCTCTCCCCGCCACTCACCCTGCCTGTCTCTGCTCGGCAGTGAACTTCCCCAAGACCCTCCAGTGCCTGAACATCACCGTGCTGAACCACGAGAGGTGCAAGCAGGCCTACCCGAACCAGATCGACAACACCATGTTCTGCGCCGGCGACGAGGCGGGCAGAGACTCCTGCCAGGTGAGAGCCGGGGCGTCCGAGTGCCGCTGCCTGTGAAACCCGGGGCCTGGCTCAGCGCTGAGAACCCAGCCACGGCCAAACCCGCCAGGACCCCGGCTCCCACCGTGCTCATGCTGTGGGCTGCGCTGTCCATCTATAGATATAAAAGGCTACTAGGTTCAGTGTCCGACTGTCCGACGGGTCGCTATGATGCGCACTGACCACCAGGGGGCAGACGCTCAGCGCAGGGGCTGCCGAGCTGCAGTGACTTGGCAGCGACGGTTCTTGGGTGCCACACCCAAAAACCAAGGAGGAGGGAGCCCGATTCCACCCTCGGCCATGGGTTATGTTGTTGCTGGGGCAGTAGGGGCCCTGCGTCTGGTGTACTGCACACTTGCGTTTGCGTTTCACACTCTGTACGACAGTAACTTTGCAGAGTGCCCTCTCCACTCCAGGACCCCTCAGGGGAATGTCGGAGAGCCGGTTTTGACCCGGTCCCTGCAGGCCAGGCTGGGGGACCCCACCTGCCGGAGGGACCCTGCTCACGCTGAATACTCTGGGGAGGGACCCAGGGAGGTTGGCTCAGGGCATGTCCGGCCCATCTCTCTTTCCTTCTCTCATCCTCTCTCTCTCAAAAAAAAAAAAAAAAAAAAAGGCAGTAAAAATCTTTTTTAATATATTTTATTGATTTTTTTACAGAGACGAAGGAGAGAGGGATAGAGTTAGAAACATCGATGAGAGAGAGACATCGATCAGCTGCCTCTTGCACACCCGCTACTGGGTTGTGTCCGCAACCACGGTACATGCCCTTGACCAGAATCGAACCTGGGACCTTTCAGTCCGCAGGCCGACGCTCTATCCACTGAGCCAAACCGGTTTCTGCAGTAAAAATCTTTTTTAAAAAAGAATGTTTAATATATATAATATAAGATATATATTATATATAAGATATATATTATATATAATAGATAAGATTATATATAATATATAAGATTGATACCAAAGTTGTTGAAAGGGCTAGAGGAGAAAAAAATGTTGTTTTTTTTAATGGCCAAGAAACTGCATAAATAGAGTCGTTTCAGAGGCTGATAAGGACTGTGCAGAAAATAAAACATGATTCTATGATAGCAAGGGATGGGGGGCTTGGGAGGGCCTCCTGGAAGAGGTGGCATAGGAGCAGGGACTGAGTGACACAAAGGAGCCTAGCGTTCAGGTTAAAGGGCAAGCAAAGCATGTGCCAAGGTCCTGAGGCAGCGACGTCAGCTGACTCAAAGAACAGAAAGAAGCCAGCGTGTTTGGGGACAGTGTCTGGGGGAGAGGTTTGGGGACCCGTAGGCGTTGAGGCTGGAGAGGTGGGTGGGGGTCAGTGTTCAACCATATTTCTCTTTTTTTTTCTTTTTTTTAAATATATTTTATTGATTTTTGTACAGAGAGGAAGGGAGAGAGATAGAGAGCCAGAAACATCAATGAGAGAGAGTCATCGATCAGCTGCCTCTTGCACACCCCCCACCGGGGATGTGCCCGCCACCAAGGCACATGCCCTTGACCGGAATCGAACCTGGGACCCTTCAGTCCGCAGGCCGACGCTCTACCACTGAGCCAAACCGGCTTCGGCTCAACCGTATTTCTTGATCCTCAACAGAGTTTCTCTGTGTTCCCATGGAAGCTACGTCTATGGAGGGTGACAGAGACTAAAATTAAGCTGACACCGCGATCAGGAATCCTTGCCCTGTACGCAGGCCCCCAAGGGCACCAGTGGGATGTACATGATCAAGCTCTTCACCGCCCCTCCTTCCCCCCAAATTTTACCAGCCTCACCATGGCAACAGCTTCCCGGGTCTCCCCGTTTCAGTGCTGTTCCCCCTGAACCGTAGGAGCACACACCTCTGGATAGAGGAGTGGAGGTGGGGGTAGGTATCAGAGAAAAACACATCTGGTTTGAATGCCCGCCTTTTAACCCATTTAGCTTGGCACCTTCTGCGTTGTTGTTTTGTTGGGGGGAGCGGGGGTGGGAGGAGATTGTATAGTTTGGTTTGGTTTGGTTGTTTTGTTGAGGTTTTGGCAGACTACGAGTCGGTTTTTCATACCAGTGTGTGTGGGCTTGGCCACCAAAAGCAAGAAATAATAGCAACACTATTAATGTGAGTGATGCAGTAATGAGAGTGGCTAATTGTTGCTGAAGTGGTTAGCTTAGTCAGCCCATTGGCTCCTTGGAGGGTTGTTGTTATTGGCTCTGCTTAACAGGCCAGGAGCCACGGCTCGGCACATTTATCCAAGGAAACCCTACAGGGATATTAAACCAAAAGCCAAACGAGACAAATTAGGCCACAGGAGAGGGGAAATGGAGAGGCGTGGGGAGCGAAGGTCCTTTGCCCTGAAACGGTGTCGGCTGGTGGGGGAAGAGGCCAGGCCTTCGGCTTCCTCTTCACGGACGCCAGGCCCCGCCCGTGGAGTCATTCGTAAGTCATAAAGACATAAATAAGGAAAGGCAGGAGAGAGTGGCGAGTATCGCGATAGGAGGGTAATTACGGGGAGCGATGGGGAATCCAGCCTCAGCAACCCAAATGAGTCCCTGGGGGCAATTCCGTCTGCGAAAGACGTCTCAAACCTCAAGGAGGGTTTGAAGAGTTTATTTCAGCCCGACCCCAAAGCAAAACCTCAAAAGATGGAGGCCGTGGTCCAGGGGATGGCAGGCTGGGGGTGTATTTTATGACTAGAGGCCCAGTACACAGATTCGTGCACCCGTGGAGTCCCATGGCCTGGCCGGCAGGGATCAGGCCGAAACTGGCTCTCTGACATCCCCTGAGGGGTCCCGGATTGCAAGAGGGCGCAGGCCAGGCCGAGGGACCCCACTGGTGCACGATCGGGGCCAGGAAGGGACCGTGGAAGGGCTCCAGAGCATATCTGAACCGTCTCACCCAGTCCTGATCCTACCAGTTGAAGCATCTGCCCCCTGGTGATCAGTGCACGTGATAGCAACTGGTCGAACGGTCAGAGGGACAATTAGCATATTAGACTTTTATATATATAGATTAGCATCATTGCAGAAGAGATAAGGAAGGTTGCATGATACCCATGGGTGGTGGGTGAAGGAGGTGGGAGAAATCGGGGTGGGGTGAGGCTCTCTGGGGTTGGATATGGAGTAAAATGGGGAGATGTATCCGGGAATATGCATGGTTACCCAGCTCTGTGGGGGAAAGATAGCAGTGAGGAATGCTAGGGTCCCCTTCTCCCGGTGTCCAAACATTTATCCTGCAGCCCTGAAGAGGAGCTGCTGGGATAGTTCAGGTTGTTGTTTTTCTAGAAGCACAAAACCCATGGACAGGGGGCTGGCTCAAGGCCGAGGTGAAACCGGTCCCATAGGCTAAGACGTCCTGCAACAACCCACTCAATGAGGACTTTTCTTTCTATTTATTTATTTTCATATTTTTTTATTGATTTTTTTTTTTTTTTTACAGAGAGGAAGGGGGAGGGATAGGGAGTTAGAAACATCAATGAGAGAGAAATATCCATCAGCTGCCTCCTGCACGCCCCCTCCTGGGGATGTGCCTGCAACCAAGGGACCTTGACTAGAAGGAATCCAACCTGGGACCTTTCAGTCCGAGGGCCGATGCTCTATCCACCGAGCCACACCGGCTAGGGCGGCTGAACCTCTGACGGCACACAGGACAGCCTCCCCTTGCGAGGAATTGCCTTGCCCCAATGCTAACAGGTTGCGACTGTCTCTTCCAAGGACTGAGATCTGCCTCTCAGCAAAAGTGAGGAGGTCGCCCTATCTGCCCTTTGGCTCAGCAGATAGGGTGTCAGCCTGCAGACTGAAAGGTCCCGGGTTTGATTCCGGTCAAGGGCATATACCTTGGTTGCGGGCACATCCCCAGTGTGTGTGGGGAGGGGGGCGGGAAGTTTGCAGGAGGCAGCTGATCCATGTTTCTCTCTCATCAATGTTTCTAATTCTCTATCCCTCTCCCTTCCTCTCTGTAAAAAAAATCAATAAAAAATATTTTTAAAAAATAAATAAATAGCCGAAACCGGTTTGGCTCAATGGATAGAGCGTCGGCTTTGGGACTGAAGGTCCCGGGTTCGATTCCTGTCAAGGGCATGTACCTTGGTTGCGGGCATATCCCCAGTAGGGGGTGTGCAAGAGGCAGCTGATCGATGACTCTCTCTCATCGATGTTTCTAACTCTCTATCTCTCTCCCTTCCTCTCTGTACAAAATCAATAAAATATATATTTTTTTAAATAAATAAAGTGAGGTGGTCTCAGGATGAGCAGAATTGCTGTCGGGGGCGGGTAAGGAGCGAGGAAGGGAGAGAAAGGCGTGTCCAGTGGGAGAAACACGGTACCCTGAGGCAGGAGGAGAGGGTGAGAGAAACCGTGAGAGATGCATGGGAGAGAGACAGACAGTGGGGGAGAGGGGGTTGGGAGGGGAAGGGGGAAGGGACAGAAGATGGGTGCAGGGTGGACTGTTAACATCCTCCCTCTCTGTTCCTCTCTGTCTCTCTCTGTCCCTTCTGCCTACGTCTCCCTCTCTCCACCTCCCCATGTCTCTGCTTCTCTCTGCACCCCCTCTTCTCCCCACTTCTCCCCACAGGGTGACTCCGGGGGCCCCGTGGTCTGCAACGGCACCCTGCAGGGCCTGGTGTCCTGGGGCGACTTCCCCTGCGCGCAGCCTGACAAGCCCGGCGTCTACACCAACCTCTGCATGTTCACCAAGTGGATCCGGGACACCATCCATGCCAACTCCTGAGGCCGCCCAGGCCCCCGGCACGCCCTCTCACCGGGCCAGGGACCTGACACTCCTTCCAGACCCCACAACCCATCCCCCCTCCTTCCCCGAGGATGTAGAGGATGTGACCTCCAGCCCCCCCCCCCCCCCCCGCCCCGAGTCTCCAGGGCCTCCCTTCCCCAACCAGGGACTGACCCCATCTCTGCAGCTGGCTCCCGGGGGGCCTGCAAAGGCCAGAAATAAAGCGTCCAAGGAGAAGTGGACTCTGGGTGTGGTCTTCTTCCCTCCACCCCACCCTCCCCATCTCTCACAACCCCTGGACCCCGGGCAGGGCAGCCGCTCCCTGCTGCAGGGCTGGCTCGGGGGGGGGCTATTTCCAAGGCAAGACCCAGGTCGTCTCCAGCTGCTTTCCACGTTCGTCCCAATATGGAGCGAGTGTCTGACTGTCAGGTGCCGGGAACTGTCTCAGGGGCTGGGGGCACCTCAGTGGGCAAAACACAGCAAATATTCCTGCCCCTTGGAGAGAAGAAATATTCACGCCCCAGGCAGAGACGACAGAGCATAAGGAGACGGACAAACACAGTCAGTATTCATCGCAAATGTGTAAATGACCCCAATCAAATGAGAACGGGGCAGGCTGTTTATATTAGACCAGAGGCCCGGTGCACAAAATTCGTGCACTGGGTGGGGGCAGGGTCCCTCAGCCCGGCCTGCACCCTCTCGCAGTCTGGGAGCCCTTGGGCTCCCACCACCACCACTGCGCTGCGCTGGCCAGCTGTAAGAATAAGGGAATTCCTTGGGTCACATGACCTCACGCATCTTGGGGGAAATGACGAACAACATACATTGATGAACAGAAACAGACCCGGAGACAGAGAGACAGCGATCAGACCATCAAACCCCAGAGGGAAGGTAGGGGAGAGTGGGGGCCAGGGGGAGAGATCAACCAAAGGACTTGTGTGCATGCAGATGAGCCTAACCAGTGGTCATGGACAACATGGGCATACGTGGGGAGGGGTTTGGGATGGGAATGATGTGGGGGGATAAGGACAACTATGTGAGACCATAATCAATAAAGAAAATTTTTTTTTAAATTGGAGTTGCAGTTGTCATTCTGTCTCTCATGCATTACCCTCTGAGGCCAATGGCCCTCCAGGGGGCCTATGACCCAGCTAAAGACACACACACACACACACACACACACACACACCTATACCTGGGCTGTCACGTGATCTGGTTCTCAGCCACAAGCTATAAGCTGGAACCTGGTGGCTGAGTTTTCCTGGGAAGTTTTTGTTTTTCTGAGAAACAGGAGGGTCTACACGAATCTGTGCCCCAGTGGGGTCCCTCGGCCTGGCCTGAAGGATTGGGCTGAAACTGGCTCTCTGACATCCCTCGAGGGGTCACGGGTTTTGAGAGAGCACAGGTCAGGCCAAAGGACCCCAACAGGGCATGATCGGGACTGGGGAGGGATGTGGGAGGTTGGCCAGCCAGGGAGGGACCACGGAAGGGCTCCAGGGCGTGTCCAGCCCATCTCACTCAGTCCCTATCGGCTGGACCCCAGCAGCAAGCCAATCTACCTGTCCGAGTGTCTGCTCCCGGTGGTCAGGGCATGTCATAGCAAGCAGCTGAGTGGCCTTCGCATATCATTAGCATATTATGCTTTGATTGGTTGAACAGATGACTGGACAAACTGTACTTAGCATATGAGGCTTTTATTATATAGGATGACTTTGTTTTTAGTTCAAATAATAGAAAAAGATAAACTTAAGCCAAGACTGGTTTGGCTCAGTGAATAGAGTGTTGGCCAGCGAACTTAAGGGTCCCAGGTTCAATTCCGGTCAAGGGCATGTACCTTGGTTGTGGGCACATCCCCAGTAGGGGGTGTGCAGGAGGCAGCTGATGGATGTTTCTCTCTCATATTTCTAACACTCTACCCCTTTCCCTTCCTCTCTGTAAAAAAAATCTATAAAATATATATTAAAAAACAAATAAATAAAAGAAAAAAGATAGCCGAAACCAGTTTGGCTCAGTGAACAGAGTGAAAGGTCCCAGGTTCAATTCCGGTCAAGGGCATGTACCTTGGTTGCAGGCACATCCCCAGTGAGGGGTGTGCAAGAGGCAGCTGATTGATGATTTTCTCTCATCGATGTTTCTAACTCTCTATCCCTCTTTCTCTCAGTAAAAAAAATCAATAAAATCTATTTTTTTAAAAAAAGAAAGATAAACTTAACTGTCTGACTTTCCAAGCTAGCCACCCAATGTAATAGACTAATATGAACTAAGACTGATAATAATTCCCATATTCTTACGCCAAGCACTAACTCATTATGTACTCAAGGCTACACCTGTCTTCAGCAATAACTCACACGGAGCCCTTTGTAATCCCTGCAAACAAAGAGGCTCGAGAAGTCTAAATATGAGCACTTCCTTTATTTCGGGGCTACGCCCAGCAAACGCCTCCTGATTAATTGGCTCATGAAGGCGTCTTGTATCTCGCCCGCTTACGATACAGCAGCTTTCAGCTTGGGCTGCCAGCCTCTGGCTGGACACGGAGCCAAACCTCGAGGATCTGGCTACGGCCGCTGGTTGCAGAAGGAGAAGGCGGGTAAACTGAGTCTCTCGGGAGGACACGCGGAGCGGAGGCCCTGTGCAGAGCGTTTCCGGGGAGACTTGACTTTCTCCTCCTGTGTGTGTGTGTGTGTGTCTCTCCGGGGTGGAGGCCTGCCCGGGAGCCGGAGGGAACGGGGGCCTGGGAACAGAGTCTGTGAAGGGTGGAGAGGATCTGTGTGTTTCCTGCACGGGCGAGGCAGCTGGTAGAACACAGGGCTGCGGTGGTGCAAGACATGAGCTTCTTGCTCATGAGATAGGAAGACGTGCCACAGAGCACGACTCACGGATCTAAAAAAATAAAAGGGGGGTGGACAGCTGGATCGGTGATACAGAGGAGAGCATGCCCTGGTCGTGTGGTGCCACTGGTTGGAGAATCATCCTGTGTGTGCACCGGGAAAAGGATGGCAGGTTCAATTCCCCAGTCAGGACACCTACCCTGGTTGCGGGTTCGACCCCTGTCAGGGTGCGTATGGGAGGCAACCGATCGATGTGTCTCTCTCTTTTTCTCTCTCTCTCTCTAAAAGTCCATAAAAACATATCCTCTGATGAGGATTTTTTTTTTTTTTCTAAAAAAAGGAGCTCAGAAAGAGACCCATGAGAACTCAATATACTATTATACAACACACATAAAATAGATAGAATAGCATATTTAAATTTAGCAGTTGTAAATTGTGCTGCTATGAACAATGGGGTAGAGACCGTAGGCTTAGCAAATGGTATAGGGAAAGCTGGCTCACGGTGTAAAGAAAAATGGGCCTGGGAAATAGAGTCGATAATATTGTAATAATCTATCATAATAAAAGCGTAATAAGCTCGTTAGACCATATGTCCTTCCAGATGACCTTCCTGATGTCCTTCCAGGGACGAAGGGGTCCAGGCGGCCGCCCAGGGCTGTGAGGGAGGGATTGAGCAGCAGCGGTGGCAAAGGCCTACTTTTGCACGGATTCCGTGCATCGGGCCTCTAGTTACGTATGGTTCCAGGCGGAGATTAAACTTAGGGGTGGGGGTGAACATTTTGTAAATTATATAAATACCCAACTACTATGTTGTACACCTGAAACTAACTTATCCTATCTAATAAAAGAGTGATATGCAAATTGACTATCACTCCAACACACAAAATGGCTGCCCCCATGTGGACACAAGATGCCTACCACCAGATGGCCAGCAGGGGAGGGCAGTTGGGAGGGACCAGGCCTGCAAGGGAGGGCAGTTAGGGGTGACCAGGCTGGCAGATGAGGGAAGTTGGGGGGAACTCAGGCCTGCGGGGGAGGGCGGTTAGGGGTAACCAGGCCTGCAGGGGAGGGCAGTTAGGGGTAACCAGGCCTGCAGGGGAGGGCAGTTAGGGGCAAACAGGCTGACAGGGGAGCAGTTAGGCATCAATCAGGCTGGCAGCGGAGTGTTTAGGGGGTGATCAGTCCTGGATTGTGAGAGGGATGTCTGAAGGCCCATTTAGGCTCAGACAGGCCCTGGAACCCTCCCACCGTCCCTCCCTGCTGGCCAATCTCCCAGGTCCCTCCCCAGCACCAATCATGCACCAGTGGGGTCCCTCGGCCTGGCCTGTACCCTCTTGCAATCTGGGACACCCTCCGGGGGATGTTGGAGAGCCAGTTTCAGCCTGATCCCACAGGCCAGGCCGAGGTACCCCACTGAATTCGGCAGGCCTCTAGTGTTTAAGAATGTTTCTGCCACCGAAACCGGTTTGGCTCAGCGGAAGAGCGTTGGTCTGCAGACTGAAGGGTCCCGGGTTCGATTCCGGTCAAGGGCATGTACCTTGGTTGCGGGCGCATCCCCGGTGAAGGGTGTGCAAGAGGCAGCTGGTCGATGTTTCTCTCTCATCGATGTTTCTAGCTCTCTATCTCTCTCCCTTCCGCTCTGTAAGAAAATCAATAAAATATATTGTTAAAAAAAAAAAAAAGAAAGAAAGAAAAGAATGTTTCTGCCCAAACCGGTTTGGCTCAGTGGATAGAGCGTCGGCCTGCAGACTGAAAGGTCCCGGGTTCGATTCCGGTCAAGGGCATGTACCTTGGTTGCAGGCACATCCCCGGTGGGGGGTGTGCAGGAGGCAGCTGATGGATGCTTCTCTCTCATCGATGTTTCTAGCTCTCTATCCCTCTCCCTTCCTCTCTGTAAAATGTCAATAAAATATATTATTTTTTATAAAAAGAATGTTTCTGTGCTGCCATCCATTCTGAGGAAGGATCTGGCACCATTTCATCAGCGTAAGTGACTCCTCACACCCTGTGACTCACACCCTGTGACTCACACCCTGTGACTCACACCCTGTGACTCAGCAGTCTCTCTCCTGGCTCCACATCCCTAGGAACGTCCTCCACACCCACAGGGAAACACCCTGGAGGGGGTGCCTGGCCCGGTGCTTGGTGGAGGCTGGGAGCTGGTGGCCCATC